CGCAAAGAAGTAGCAGTGTGCGTGCTGTTCCTGTCGATTGTTTGTTGATTATGGGAGTTTGCTGTAGGGTTTTTATTGCTTCGTGTATTTGAAGAGTTGTGAAGTCGTTAAATCGGCGGGTTACTTTGGGGTTTTTTACTAGGTCCTGACGGATGAGTTTTTGGTTGTGGATGTGGGCACAGTGTTCTTTGATGGCTCCATTTTGTAGGTGCATTGTTAGGCGTCTTGACAGGGTTGTGGTAGTCATTCCGATGTAGGAGGCGTTCACACAACATTCAGCCTTGATAATGGATGCAGAATGCATTCGAAAAGCGTCGGCCAACTCATCACTAGCTACAACTTTTACCCGTTGTTCTAACAACGTTAAGACGGCTTATCGACTTCTTGAGAAGAATTCTAAGAAGAAAGTAAACCTACAGACATCGGTCTTGTTTAACAAAATCTGCCTACATATATATATACATAACTTATGCCTCTTTCATTCCAGAATGAACACAAAGTATAACACGAAAACATAAATGTTTAGACTAAATAGCTTAAATATCATAACATTATACATTTATATATATTTATTATTTTTTTATATTGACCTTTCAGCCATGCCTGGCTAACAATACAGAAGTTACAATGACGCAGCACACATGCACTCATGTTACCATATCCAGTAACATAAAACTGACCTTTGGTCTGTACAAAATAACTTGTCTTGGCTGTGTTTTAGTAGACTAGTACTTTGTCAAGTACTGTCACATTTCTATTATTATACATTGTATATGTATATAGATTATTGCTATTTTGAAATAAATTCTTAAACTTATTTTTCTTAAAACATAGAACAGTAAATAAAGATATAAAGCAAACAATTATCTCTTATAGTTATGATCTTTGTACTCGGTTGCTGCTTGACATAGGCTGCTAAGCCTTTAAAAATTACTACATCAATACCATAGAATTCCACTTTCATTTATCAAGCTTAGTAACTAAGATGTATTTTAGTCTACAAAATATGAAATTTGGAGCAGACTAAATACATACCCTACCTACTTGAAATGTTGGTTCAAAAGAAAGAAATGGTGTCCAAGCCCATTAAAATGGCTGAGAAAGCCACTAGGAGGACATTTTGAGCTTCTGATTGGTTATTTATGTCATATAAGTGTATACAAGGTAGCATTTTCAAAAATGGAGAGAGGTGGGGGGTGCCACTGTGTTTGATTTATTACATGAGCAATATCTTAGCAAATGGAAAAGATAAGATGTTCTTATTTTAATTCTAGCTTGTCAATATCAATAATTTGAGTTTCTAATTTGTATGAAACTACAGACTTAGTATTTTAACTTCACAAACATCTAATTTGAACCAGGGCTGCATTCAACATGCTACATAACACAAAACAATCGATGTTTATCTTGATTTTTTAATATTTACTTTTAAATTAAGAAATTGAGTAATGTATAG